AAGTAATAAATAATATAGTGCACAAAAACAAAATACCATGCTGTTTTTTTCCAAACAGGGTCGAGCTGGTTATTGATGATGAAGACATGGGTCAGCAGCAGAGTGGCAGTGCTTCAGCACCTGGCACAGGTGGCACCCTTTTCCTGGGAAAGGAGACGTTCAAAGGCTGCATTTCCAACCTCTACACAAGACGGTAAGATTTCCCCACTTTGCATTTCATAGCTGCGTAACTGTACTGATTGTTTGATGTATGGTGTTTATATTATATCTGTTATTTGTTCTGTTCGCAGGCCAAGCAATCTGTACATGGTTGAGGACTTCAGCACCTTCAGTTCTTCTGGAGATGTATATCAGGATGTGTGTACTGTTAACAGTCCTGCTCAGCTGATGATGGACAGCTTCTTTAAGAAGGTGAGTGTTTGTCTTACATGCCAAAACATACTGTATTCCATAATATAATTTATTTATTTGAGCAATCCTAAGATTGTTTGCGTAAACAAATTAAAAACCTTAAATTTGGATGAAATAATTTAAACCTTTTTCCAAAGCTAATCCACTTGGTTCTTTTTTCTTCGAATTAAGTGTCATTATTGTTTAACTACAGCAGTCCATCTTATTTCAAGGTATAACTGTCAAAACTAGCTTGTACATTATGAACATGGTGAGTTGATGATACATTCCACTCACTAGCAGTAAGTCATGCCCACCTTTATCTTTCTCTTTTGTAAAAAAAAAGACTGTATATTACTATTGTTTAAGGCAAATTAATAATCACACAGCGTTTGTCTTATGTTGACATTGTTTACATTCTATTTTGCTGCCTTATTTCCAGAGATAAAGAAGAAGGAGCCCTAAGACCTGCTGATGCTGACAAGAATCTGATATTGACATGAAAAACTGGCATGCACTGTTGCTTACGCACAAGCTCATCCATCTGCAGTGTACTTCAATAAATAAAATTTGCATGAACATTCCAAAATAATTATACAGACTATTAAATGCATTGTATCTCTGTCTATTCTATTTAAAAATACAGTAATTACAAACAAAAACTTGTGAATAACAAACTTGAAATCAACTCATGTCTCTTTTCTTTCTTTCATGTAACTCAGTAATGAATCACTTTCTAACATCATTCACAAGCACGTGTCCACTAACTCACTATTGTCAGACCTAATGGAAACACTCATACACAAACACGCCTGATTACACAATCATATAAATCAAATAAAATTACCAATAATTACATTTAATAGTCAATGAACACAACAGGATCTGCATCTGAGTTTTTATACATTTTTTGGTTTTACCTGGCAAATTAATTCAATTTAATGTTTTATATTCTATTTTTACACATAGAGGGATACTGATATATTTCAAACTTGTTAAATTACTTTAAAATAAAATGTATCCATCAAATCTTGCTGTTGTGGGCCAATAAAGCCGCTGTGAGATTTTGTATGCAATACCGGGCTAAACAAATGGACCTGTCCCAACTTAATTGGTCAATCTTCAGTCTATTTAAATTGAACGGGATCCCAGCATTAAGGTTGGAAAGACATTATAATAAATGATGAAGCCAGTGAGAAGTGTGGAAGCATTTCCTGAGATAAAATGTTAGTATTTCACAGCTGCTTTCACAGAGTAGAGCTTACTATGTTCAGACACGTTTTAATTCTTTGTTCTCGGAAGCATGGTTGCATCATTTCTTATCATTGTGCATGCCTGTCATAACTTACTGAGATCTATGTGTTTGATTTGGAGCATCTGACTAGAGGAGGCCATATCACTACCATAATTTATTCTCCAACAACCCCTAACACACAGTAGATTGCCTGAATAATGAATTCTCAGCTGCTGCATGAGTTCATCCAAGTACAATAATCAGCTGACATGACTACGGTACTACAAGACACGGTGCTGTGAAATTCAGCCATAACTCATGGGGTTCTCATGTTACATTACAATATCTTGTGTTTGTAATAATATGATTTATTTGGCATAGGCTGACTGTCATCCATTATTGGTGTTTTCTATAGTATCAGGAGCCATTTCAAAAAGGTCTTTTAGTCTATTTACAGTTGTATAATCTCTGCTGCACTATTGCAAGTTCACCCCTGTTATCCTTGAGTGTTTGCCAAACTGAAATCCTTCAAGTCACATAAATAACTTCTTTCTTGCACACTGTACCGAACAGTAACAAGCACAACTCTAATTCTAAGTTGAAACCAAACACACCTCTGAGGAAACAGAAAGTTTGTGACAAACTCACTGTAAAGTAGTAGTAGTAGTAGTAATAAAACTCAATGTAACCAAAATAGGCCACCTTATGTATTATTGGACCCACCAGATAAGATCAATATATACGAGTGATGAAATCATAACTTCCAGCTTATACTTGGCAATTTATCAAAACTATTACATGCTGGTTGTTAAATCGCTTTGGGAGACATCTACCGTATTTCTGGTCTGCAACAACATTAACTAAGTAGCAGATCAATAGAAAGTTTATCTGAAACCATGTTGATGATCATTTTAGTCATTTTTAAAGGCAAAAATTATAAAAGAATTATTGGTTCAAGCTTTGTAATTGAGAGTATTTTTTGTATTTATTGATAGTTTACTATCATGAAGTCATGATAGTAAACTGAATATATCTGGGCTTTGAACTGTTGGATGGACAAAACCAACCATTTAATTAAGATAACTAGGGCTTTGAGAAATTAGGATGTGGATTTTTCATTATTTTCTGACATTTCATTGATGAAACGATTAGTCGATTAATCTACAAAACAATCACCAGATGAATTGATCATGAAAATAATCGTTAGTTGAATCCTTGCATACATTTATTCAGTATAACAACACAGCCTCTCACCTGTGGGTAAAACTTACCTTAGAAGATCTTTTGTTTCAGTGTCTGTTTGGTGGATCTTCAATTTAATACAGAATATATGAACTGTCATTCTTAACACTATACATTGTTGCACCCTACCATCTTTATTTATTGACAGAGTGGAACCCTTTTGGAGATTTCCCAAAGACGTCAGAGGAAACAATGATTTGAGGACCAACTTTGTACCTTCTGCTGAGTGTCTTTGTTTGTGTCTGTGCTATTTTAGGATGGCGTGATGCAGGTGATAAATGAGAGTTTATCAGCGTGTGCTTTACCAGCCCTGGTTCAACATGCTTATCGCATGGGCGGCCCTGTTAGCAGTCTGAGCTACAGCCTTCCACTACAGGTCCTGCAGCCTAGGTGGGTGACCTGTATTGCCTTACTGCACCATTTCACAATACAAATGCATGCACACACATGAAACTTTCTGAAGATTTCGAAATAAAAAGCATGCTTTTGAGTCCATCTTCTCAAGAACAATGCTGCTGTTATGTCAGAGTCAACAAACACAGACACTTAAGATGATGTCTTTCCTTATTCAATCCAGGCCCCACTTTTCTCTGGATGTCAAGACTCGAGCTCCAGAGGGCCTGCTGTTCTTTTCTGCTACCAGAGGAGGGCGATCTCATCTTGCTTTATACATATCCAAAGGCAGGATCAGACTGTCTGTAGGAAAACAGAAGGAGATCTTCAACAGGGAGAAGTACAATGATGGAAAGTGGCACTCGGTCAGTGGACATACTTGTATTAAATCTTATTATACAACAAAACTGAATACTTTATTCTGTATTAATTAATTATAATGTATATGGTAACTATGTTGTCTGTAGGTCATATTCAGTTTGGAGAAGAAGAAATTTCGACTGGTGGTGGATGGGATTAGAGCCCAGGATGGTCAGCTGACCAGTGCTGAGTTGACATCCATGCAGCAATTTGTGTCCCCTGTGTACCTGGGCAGTGTCCCAGAGTCCCTTCACAAGGAGCTGAAGGTAAAAAGAAAAGTAGAGACTGGCCAATTCACATGAGCATGCACAAAAACATTTTAATTCACAAATTGTAATGTGTATATATATTTTCTTCTAATTTTTCTTTTTTTTTCTTTTTGTAGTCGAAGGCCCTTCCAAAGCAGAGTGTGTCTGGCTGTATCCGCAATTTTAAAATGAACGGAGCTCCAATGTCAAATCCATCCATAAACCGTGGTGCTGGCCCCTGCTTCGAGGGACAGACACAAAGAGGGGCTTATTTCTCAGGGAATGGAGCGCATGTCATTATCAGTAAGTACTCCTCTGACAATCTGATAATTCTACATTTCTAATGGCTATAAGGATGTCTTATCAGCTCCTGTCTGAGATAAAAAACAAGTCAGTGACACAAAATGCTTACTAATAAAAATACTAGTACAACATACGAAAAGGTGTCAGGAACGACAGAGAATGGACTTCCAAGAAGAGGGTTAAAACTATTCATTCTCATAGAAATAGCGTAATTTCAGCATTCTCATCTTATTTTTCCACCCATTTTAGAGGTCAAATGATAATTTACAAGGAATTACCCTGAAAGTGACCATGTCTTTTTTTTATTAATTAAATGCTAAAAAGTCTGCCATATAATATACAACCTGCAGTGCACTGAGTTAAACAAGTTACACACTAGATATTAATTGGCACTAATTAATTAAGGAACAGTCTCCTTTTTCTCTATAATTAGCACAGAATTAAATATTGCTTTCAAGGACACTTACTAGGAAATTAGTTACATGTCAGTACCTTCTAGGAAATTATGAGACCCATAACTAAGAGTCTCCTTGATTCTGTATTCTTTTCATGGCAGTCTCCTGATTGTTTCGATACTTACAGTCTAAATTAATTTATTTATAACAATGTCAATGATGAAAACATCTATTTTCTGTATTTCAGATGACTCTTTTGTTGTGGGCTCCAGCTTTGAACTGCTGTTTAACATTCGTCCACGGAGTCCAAGTGGACTTCTGCTACATGTCGGTGATTCCAGCAGGACCCAGTATGAACCTGCGAGGGGCCATTATTTCAGTGTCTACATGCTCAGAGGAGAGGTGAGGACTAACTCTGTGTCAGTTTAATGAGGCCACATCAGTTGTGCTTTTATGGCCAGAACCAAAACTTAAGTTTTTGGAAAATAAAGATGTAATTGTGAACTGGATTCAGTCTAGATTGGACAAACACATCTCTTAGTGTCTCTGTAATAAACATAAACTACTGTGCAGGTTTTGGGGACTTTGGAATAACAGAACAGATCCAAAATTGAATCTAGACTAAAAAGGTGTCTTTACTTGAAGTGTGTTCCTTGTACACATGATTAAAAGCTTTGTGTGTGGCTCTCATTTACAGGTAGTGGCGAAAGTGAACAATGGAAAGGGGGAATTCATGGTGTCAGTAAAGCCAAAAGCTTCTTTATGTGATGGGCTGTTTCATAAAATCTCAGGTAAAACGTGTACATTCACTTCGTAAAAGACATTAGTCAAGACAAACTAATATACCACTATACACTGATATTAATTATCATTTGCATTAAATCATTGTCCATGTGTCTTCTAGTAATCAAGAGGAAAAATGTTGTGCAACTGCATGTGGACACAATAGACAATTACAAGATTGGACCACCATCTTCCACTACAACTTTGACCAAAGACCCCTTGTATGTGGGTGGCATTCCTGGTGAGTATTAATCTGTTAATCTGAGAGTTAATCTACTTAGTTTAGTTTTAGTTAAATGTATTCACACTTGAAAAAAAAAAAAAAATAAATATGAAAATACCATAGGACAATAACATATTATACTGTATAATAATATGAGGAAAAAGTGATATTGCATGTATAACAGACAACTATCATGTGTCTTTTAGGGCAAGTCCCAAACTATTGTGCTCTTAAGATATAACAACATGAATATGAATTACCTTTAAAACATAAAATACTGTAAAATGAATAATGAAGTCAATCTACAAGTTAGCAATCAAGGTTTAATTTAAATGTTTTGTATAAACTCTGGACAATCCCCATAGTCTCATGTAAGTTAACATGAGTCAATAATAACATCAGTTAATAATATAAATTAGTAAAAATAAGCTGGGACAATATAATCACTTACCAGTCCACCATATTTCTCCTGCAGAGATGTCAATGCAACGGACGCTCCCTGTCACGTCGTCCTTTGTGGGATGCATCCAGGAGATGAGGCTCAACGGCGACTCAGTCTCTTTCGACAGGCTGTCTGGTGTGTTCGGTCCCGTCAACCTCAAAGAGTGTCCAGGCTGAAAGCACCGCATCATCATTAAACAAACCTTGGGACCACGTCCACCACCAACCATGTGCAATCTGTTACCAAGACAGAGAATGTGTTTGTGTGTAAGAATATATATATAATGAGGTGTGTGTTTCAGAGGGTGTGAGTGTGTAAGTGAGTGTGTTTGTGTGTGTGTTTGAGAGTGTGTGTGTAAAATAGATATTTTAGCAGCAGCTTACAGGTTCATAATATTTGCTGCTCAGTTATACATTTCTGTATTTATTTTGTGATAGAATCATGTATCACTGCACCAATTCACAAATGCATACTCTAACGGATGTTTTACAGTCTGATGTGTTGGTCCATTCATTTTCCGTCGACAATCAAATGCTACTGAATATGCTTGTGATTGGTCAGGGTTGCAGTATGAGCAACTCAGCACTTTAAGAAATCAAATGATACCTTTTGTCATGGTGCTTTAATGAAGATCAACTTTATTAGTTGATTTGTTTTGTTTTGTTTTTGTTTGTTGGACTCAAAACTTTAGAATAATTACGTTTACACCCGTGGTGCTCAGTTCAGTGACATTTCAGGGGGTTGTCTGGCTATTTTATATTCAAATCCACATGCCATCATATAGACATTCTGGATTTTAACTGGTTTAATGGAGATGGAGCCCTCTCACAGGCCATGAATAGTATGGTTTTTCCCCATTTCGTATTACTGTTGTTATGAATCCATTTTCCATTTTGCATTCCTTTTTCATGCATGAGGATGTTCTGAGTGGTTGCTGACGTCAGTTACACCCACCAGAAAACAGCATGTACTGAATTTTGTGGAACATTGTTTATGAGTTAAATAACCAATATAGATACCAGTAGCATAAGTCTCATAATTATGGTCAGTCATGTTTGGGACCATTTAGCCCACATTGCTATAAGGTTGAAAGTAATATAACACAAAGCATGTTATATTTGAGGTATTATTTGAGAGTTATATTGATGTATTTAAATTCCCCAGCAAGTGTTTTCTTCTTTCTTTCCTACTTTGTACATTTGTGGAAACGTGTGATATGATAAAAAAAAATATGCATGATAATTAGACATATTTTTTACATGCATTCCTGTCTTGTGACCACTGATTTGTAAAGTATTTTGTAATCTGTTCAATTAATGTTCTTTATAAATACTTATCAGTGCCATAAGTAGGTCTTGTGATCATGGTGACAACTCACATTATTATATGTACTGAGAAATGCGTTTTTTCAGACATCTGGGATTTATTGTTGAATTACACTCACATTGAATTACAAAAATGTGTATACTTTTGATTGCAAAATTAGACAAATTAAATGTTTTCTTTTTGAATAGGTCTCATATTTAATATTGGTGCGAGGAAACATGTTGCAATGCAGTATAAAATGTTGATTCATATGCTCATGTTTTGGGAGTAGGGAGATTCAGCTCAAACTAGAATAAGTTAGGATAACGTGTTCAGTTATTACACTTATAACAGGGAACTGTTAAATTTAGGGAAGTATAATATTCTTATAATTTGAATAAGAGCAGACAGTTATCAACAGGGACAATGAAGTCATATCCTCAGTATATAAACTGGGAATATGGCCCGAGGAGACATTCATGTTACAATTACACATCATATGTTTTCAAAGTTGACTGAAATTGTATTTAGTTGCTTTTTATATTTAAAAAATCCTTAACAGTTAAGATAAAATAAAGGAATCCACCAGAATTACACTATAGTATTGAGAATGCTATGACAGAGCAATTACAGATCAATCATATTGGGAGCTAAAAAATATTTATATATATAACTACCATTTATGAATTTACTATTTAAAACTACTATGAACTACTAATTTAGTGAAAATGTTCTAAAGAGTAATATGGATTCTTGAGCTGAGTATTTCCAATATTACACTTGTGCTGCTGGGCTTTGAGCTGACTGGGTCTCCAGCAGAAACCACCACGCCCACTCTGATGCTGCCTTTAACTGACTTTGTGAAGTCATGTTCAACAAAAACCGAACCACAAAAACATAAAGTACCCTATGTACGGCAGAAAGCGTGCAGTGGGAATATGGACCAAATTCATAATCAGTGACAGAATGTGATGGATTACACGATTCGGTGTAAATTGGGTTATTTCCTATAAAATGTACAAGGACAAAAATACAACATGACAAAGCACGCAAAAGAGAAATGAATATAGGAATACGAATATAAAACAAGAGGAGAAAAATAACACCTCTACCACTGTTAAATTGACGTGTTTTAAGGCCCCTAATCTCGTGTGATCATTGCTTGGTTGTTCCTGCATAATCGGATCGGAAACGCGATAATTCCGATAGCACTTTAACGCAGCACACTTCCTGTCTGCGCAGGAGCACACGAACCACCGGTCAGGCGGCAGAATACGGAACAGCGACACAACCTCTGGATAACCGGACACCGGCCACACTCCTCCCGTTAGCTCTTAGTCAACATGAACCGGTTCGCTCGTTAGCCCCTCCTCATGTAAGACTAAAAATATGACTTCGCTTGCTGCAAAAAAACTGCGCCACCGGCTGAGACTGCTCTGCCTGTAAGTAAACTAACGAGACGTGCGGTACACCCCACTCCCACTCCCCCTCCTCCTTTAGCGCCTCGCCTCCGGTATCGGGTATCTCTCAATGGCGGACCCGACGGAACCAGCCCCGGCAAGCGTGGAGGATGAGAAGACGGAGCGTATCAACGACGCAGAGCTGGCACTGAAAGGCATCAATATGCTCCTCAACAATGGATTCAAGGAGAGCGACGAGCTATTCCGGACATACAGGTACTTGAGTGTCTTGTAGGAGACATTAAGCAATATTACTGATTCTACTTTAGTCCGGTCATGAATGCTTGTGTATCCTCTGCAGGGGGTTGTTAAATGGCTAGGGAAATGTTTGCGAACTACTGTGGTGAACCAGCGTGCGTAGAAGCCATTAATGCGTTTTAACTCCCCTCGTTCACTGCCTGTGCTTACTTTGCAAAACAAAACCTCACCATCCCTGTCACGCTCGTACAGTGTAGCACCATATGATCTGGTCACAAGCAGGATGAGTACTGTTTAAATACCCTGAGCAAATATCCACACCCAGAAGGACCCAGAT